AAAAAAAAAAAAAAAAAAAAAATTAAAGGGAAAAGATAATTCCTAAAAACCTACAGCAAAATGAAATAAATGAACCTAACTGCCTCTCAAATTGGTGTCATAGCCAGACTATCTCAAGGAACTTTACAAGCAGTAATTTGATCGTATATCCTTAGAAATATATATCCTAAAGATAAAAAGATTGCCCAAAAGTAAATCTTCTACTTTCTTCAATAATCATATGGTTATTAATAGTGTTAATTTTCTGAGAAAGTTCTGTATGTATTATGAAAAAAAGCAAATGCACTATTGTACTAATGTCATTGGTAATTGATATTTTCAGCATGAAAGAAGAGAAATAGACATTTGAGATCAATAAGGCTGAATGAAAACCTGTAGTTCCAAATTTCAGCTGGAAATATTGGTATAAACTAGATATACTTTATCCTTGACATTATGTCCAATAAAAAAGTACAGAAACAATAAGCAAACCAGTAGCAGTGATCAACCCTAGAACACAGAATACACTTCCTAAATACCTTTTCCTACACCAAGGAACCAAGACTCTTTGTAGAAGTGGAGCATAGTAGTATATATCATCATAAATATACATCTTCATCTACATGATAAATACAAATATACATGGTGAAGCTGAAATATCTTTACACCAGAGGCAAGGAAGCTATCAAGGACTATTGGGTCATGTCAAAAGGATTCAGAAGTGGCTCAGAATGATCAAAAATAGAGTAATTTGAGCCTTTGATGATGAGGATGATGATGATTATTATTATTATTGCAATGGATTGAAACACATCAAAAATCTTTAGATCTATGAAATTGATGATAATAAACATTCATGGGTCATCTTTTATGGATGTTAAGAAAGCAATGCATTATTCTTTAAAAGTGGTAAATTTGAAAAAGGAATTATGCATTTATTCACCTTTTCTATATAATTTTACCACAGATCATCAAATAATTGATCAAATGGAGTTCTTTTATACACTTGCTCTAAAATAACATAACACCACCTGGAAAATGTTTTTGGCTGAAGGGTTTCTGAATTATTACAAGTGTAAGGGACTGAAACGCATCTTTACCTGAGAAAGTAGTCAGCAAAATTCAGATTAAAGGAATCACTACCAGTCAAATTCATCATTTATTAGCAACAAAAAAATTGTGAGGAGAAAAAGAATGTATGGAATAAAGAAATTTAGGAGACATATGAACCAATTGCAATGTATAGATATTTCGGAATTTGGATTCAATCTGCAGAGACTATGGGACTATTTGCACACTGACTGAATATTTTATATTACAAAGCATTATAAAATTGCTACAATTCTTAATGTAATAATGCTAGCATTGTTGCAGGTCAGGCAACATCAAAAATTCCAGGCTTAGCCCAAAAGAATTCTTAGCTTTCTCCAGGAAAGGGCCAGGAAGGGTGGCTCATGCCTATAATCCCAGCACTTTGGGAGTCTTAGGCAGGTGACTCGCCTGAGATCAGGAGTTTGAGACCAGCCTAGTCAACATAGTGAAACCCCATCTCTACTAAAAATACAAAATTTAGCCCAGCGTGGTGGCAGGCACCTGTAACCCCAGCTAAGTGGGAGGCTGAAGCAGGAGAATCGCTTGAACCCAGGAGGCAGAGATTGCAGTGAACCAAGATTTTACCACCGCACTCCAGCCTGGATGACAGAGTGAGACTTGGTCTCAAATTAAGAACAACAGTTAAGAGCAAGCCAGTTGTGTGAGACAGTAATCTTTGATTGAAGGGTGCTGCTCCTTGTGGAGCATGGCTGTCTCACAGGCAGTGCACCAGGGTTGGCAACTGTATTTGTACTCAGACTCACTTTCTTTTTTTTTTTTT